ACAGCCCCTCCCCCACCCGCCCCTCCCCCCCTCCTTTGTAGCGCCGCGGCCCCTAAATAGAAAGACAAAAATCGTTATTTTAGATACATTTTATTATGAATCCTTTTGTTATGATATGGCTGGTAACCATTGACCTTATTAAACACAAAAACCGCCCCGAGTCGCTGCTTTTTGGCCCCAAAACGGGGCCGGGGTTGGGGGGGGAACTGGGCCGGGATTTTGGGGTGGGGGTCACCCCCTCCTCACTCGCTGGAGGACTCGGAGCCATCGCTGGCACTTTCGTCCTCCTCCTCCTCCTCCTCGCTGGGGGTGAGCTGGGGGCTGTGGGGCGCTGGCCCACCCCCCTCGCTGCCTTCCTCCTCCTCCTCCTCTTCCTCCTCTTCCTCTTCTTCCTCCTCCTCCTCCTCCTCTTCCTCCTCGTCGTTGTCGCTGCCGAAAATCTCCTCCTGGTCCCGGGCGGCCCGAGCGGCGTCGCTGCCCCCCCGGCGGCCCCCCCGGGCACCTTCGGCCTCTTCCTCTTCCTCCTCCTCATCCTCGCTGCGGGCGGAGCCGCCCCCGCGCTCGGAGCCCGACCCGGAGCCTTCGGCCTCCTCCTCCTCGCTCTCGCTGCCCTTCTCCCGCTCCTCGTCTGCTCGGGGGGGTTTGGGGGTGCTCAGAAGGGCGGGAGGGGACTGGGGGCAAGGAGGGGGGATTTGGGGTGGGAATCTGGGGGGATCTGGGGCCCGAACCTGATCCCGGCGTTTCCTTCTCGGCCTCCATCTCCTCCTCCTCCTCCTCCTCGGGCTCGTGGTTCTCCAGCTGCGCTCGCCGTGCCTCCTGTGGAGAGGGGGGGGGGGGGTCAGGGGGATCCTGGGGGTTCCTGGGGGTTCCTGGGGGTCAGGACCCCTCCCCAAATCCCACCTGTGCCTCGAGCTCCTTCTCGTTCATGTCCCGGTGCTTCACCACCAGCACGGCGTTGGTGCCCGACTGGACCCCGGCGCGAGCCCGGCGCTTGCTCAGCCGCACCCTGGGGGGGACACGGGGGAGGTCAGGGACACCCGGGGACACCCCGGAACCCCGAGGGACACCCCAACACCCTCAGGGACACCCCAGGGATGTCCCCAAAGCCCCTGCACAGCCCCAGGGACCCCCAAAGGACTCCCCTAGACCCCTCAGGGGCGTCCCCAGGACACCTCGAGACCCCTCTGAACACCCAACCAGTGGCCCCAGTACTAACCAGAAATCTCCCAGCACCCTGAAGAGCGACTTGGGGCAGCTCCCAGTCCCTCCCAGTGCCCCCAGTCCCGACCTGGACAGTTCCCAAGTCCCTGCCAGTGTCCCCCAGCCCCACCTGGTCTCCAGCTCGTTGTAGTAGACGCCGTCGCCCTCGCGGAAGATGAAGAAATAATTCTCCTCGTAGCCCTTGCTCGCCTTGTTCTTCACGTTCCAGTTGTACTCCCGGGCGATCTTGTAGTCGTACCTGGGCGGGGGGGACACGGGAGGGGCTCCAGGAGGGGCTGGGGGACCTCCCCAAAACTCCCCCAAAAAATTCCCCCAAATCCCAGATTTCTCCCATAAAACCTCACAGAGCTTTGTGAGAGTCAGGTTCTTTCTTTGCAAGGATTTGTGACCTCAGAACTCCCCCGAAGTCCCCCTGGGGGCCACAGGGGAACCCCCCAGTCCCAAGGACCCCCCCCCAAAGCCCCCTTTCCTCCCCGAATTCCCCCAGAATTCGTTGGATGTTCTTCGTTTCCCAGGACAATTCCAGAACACCAATAGAGTTTAAACGACCCCCCTTTTTTTTTTTTTTTTTAGGATTTTTCTCAAGTTCTGGGGACTCCCCCAGGTTTTTGGGGTCCCCCCCTTACACATCCTCGGGGGCGTAATCCACGTCCTCCTCCTGGTCCCGTTTCCGCTTCCTCAGCGTTTCCTCCACGGGCAGGAAATAAGCCACGAACTGGTTCCCCTCCTCATCCATCATCCCCCTGCAGGACCAGGGGGTCAGACAGGGGTCTGGGGCAGGCTTTGGGGTCCCCCGGGGGGGGTTCGGTGTGCCTGGGACCTGATCATGGCTTGGGACATCATTTCCAGAGCCGCTGCTCCCGACGTGTCCTTGGGGGCCGGGTCCGAGTCGAAAATCACTTGGGCACAGGGGTTGATCCACATCTGGGGGAAAAAAGGAGAAAAGTGGGGAAATATGAGAGAAAAAATGGGGGTTGAGGTGGGGAAATAGGAGGAGGGAGGAAACTGGGGAGGGGAGAAAAAACTGGGGGATGGAAAACAGGAATTTGGGGAAGGGAGAAATGGGAGTTTGGAGGAGGGGGGGGAATTGGATTTTGAGGGGGAAAAAGGGGATGGGGGTCCCGAAACCCACCTTGAAGTCGGGGAACACAGGCATCACCTCCAGAGGGGTCACCCGGGGTTTGCTGTAGTGCTGTGTGATCTGGGGAGGGGGGAAAGGAGCTCAGGGACTCCCCGGGACCCCCCGAACTGCCCAGAGTGAGTCCCACAAAAACAGCCCCAGAAAACCCAAAAAACCCACCCCAAACTCACCCCAAAACCACCCCCAAACCTCCCAAAAATCAGCCCCAAAATTCCCAAACCCCCACCGCTTTCTGGGCGTCCTCGAAGGTTTTCTCAATGGCTGCGATCTGGCTGTCCCTGTCCTTGTAGATCTCCTCCTCTGTGAACTGCTGCTTCACCGACACCCCGATCCTGCCAAAGCGCCCCAGAATCACCCCAGAGTTACCCCGAAACACCCCCCAAAACCCCTCCCCGAAGCACCCTGGAACTCTCCCCAAAACTACCCCGAAAACCCACTCACAAAATCGCCCCCAAACGCCAAAAATCCCCCCCGGAAACCCCAAAGCCACTCACTTGACCTCGGGCTTCTCGTTGGACACGCCGTAGCGGTTGAACTCGGTGGAGATGTACTCGGTCTTTCGCATCCAGGGCACCACCTTGGCGTGCTGCTGCGACCTGCGCCACCCCGAAAGGGTTTGGGGCACCCCCGGGGGGGCGGTTCGGGGCCTGGGGAATCCCGGATTTGGGGTTTTGGGCAGGTTTGGGGGTGCCCCCATTTGGGTTTTACCTCTTGGAGCTCGTGGGTGCCTGAATCTCCTCCTCCAGCAGCTTCTCATCGGCGGGGTCCAGCAGCACTGGGGGAAATTTGGGGTCAGCCCACCCAAAATTGGGGTCAGCCCACCCAGAACTGGGGTCAGCCCACAGCATTTGGGGTCGGCCCGCAGGATTTGGGGGTGCTCCTTGTGATTTGGAGCAGCCCCCAGACCTGGGGAACTCCCAAAAATTGCCCAGGGAAAGAATCCTGAGTGTGGGGCGGATCTGGGATTCTGGGAGGTTCTGGGGTGGTTCTGGGGACATTCCCGGGGCTGTCCCAGGTCAGTTCCCGGTCCCTGCCCCGCACACACCCCCGGGGTCGATCCGGTACGTGTCGGGGTTGATGAGGTCGATGGTCACGCCCAGGTCGGGCTCGGTCAGGAGGTCGTGCTTGTGCTGCTTCTCCAGGGATGTGGCCTTGTACTGCACAAACCTGGGGCATAACCGGCCCGAGAGGCCCCGAAATCAGCCCCAAAAACCACTGGGATCAGCCCAAAAACACCCCAAAATCAGCCCAAAGCCCACCTCGGAATCAGCCCCAAAACCACCGGAATCGGCCCAAAAAACACCCCCAAATCAGCCCAAAGCCCACCTCGAAATCAGCCCCAAAACCACCGGAATCGGCCCAAAAAACACCCCAAAATCAGCCCAAAGCCCCCTAAAACCCCCTCAGCCCCCGGCCCCCCCGCAGCCCGCAGGGGTTGGGGGCTGTGACCCAGGACCCCTCCCCACAATTCCCCCCCGGACCTGCTCTGGTCGAAGGGGTACGTGATGAATTTGGGGTCGAACGGGATGTCCGGGAGGCTGTTGCAGAACTTGACCCGGCAAACGATTCCGGACCTGCGGTGGGGACGGGTCAGGGGTCCCCGGACCGGGCCCGGGGGTCCCCAAATCCCGCGATTCACCCCAAAAACGGGGCAGGGACCCCCCCCCCACAAAGTCCCGGCCCTTCCCCCCTCCCCCACTCACCTCTCGGGGAGGGTCCGGTGCGAGCTGGGCCTGCGGGGAGGGGGGGCGCGTCATGACGTCACCGAGGACCCCCCGAACGCTTCCGTGACGTCACGGCGGGACCCCGTTATTTGCCCCCCACCGCCTCCCGCCGGGGGGTGACGTCATGGGGGAACCTCCATCCCCCCCACCACCGCGGGCGGCTCCCCCCGCTCGGCGTGACGCATGGTGACGTCACGGAGGTGACGTCACGGCCGTTACCGGTGTCCCGGCTCATCGCGCTGCGCCTGCGTCTGGATGGTGGGCGCCATGGTCAGCGGCTACTTGAGTGGCGCTCCCGTGACGTCACTTCCGCTGCGCGCCGGAAGTCTAAGAAAACATGGCGGCGCCGCCGCCGCCTCCAGCCGGGCCGGGCACGGGGCCTCCGTCAGCGCCCGCGGGCCCGGGGCCGGCAGCGGGGCCCGGAACGGGGCCGGGACCGCCCCCAGGGACCGCGCAGGGCCCCGCGCTGCCTGCGCAGGCGGCGGCGGCGCAGGCGCAGGATTTTGATCCCGTCCAGCGCTTCCGGCTCCTGCTGCCGCAGCTGAAGGAGAGCCTGCAGGTGGGCGGGGTTTTGCCGCCGGGAATGGGCGGGGTTTGCCGCCGGGAATGGGCGAGGTTTGCCGCCGGGAATGGGCGGGGTTTGCCGCCGGAAAAGTGATGTCATTTGCTTAAAGGGCGTGTCTCTGGGGGTGGAGTGGTCCCCCGGAACTTTGGGGGTCCCTGGGCCCGGACCGGGAGGCTCCGAGGGAGTCCCTGGGCCCTCGGGGCGTGCCCACCCCCTTGTGGCAGTCATTTCCCATGGCTGGGGGCACTGGGGGGGCTGCGCCTCCTCGCTCCCCCCGTGTCTCCCTTGACCCCCCGTGTCCTGCAGACCCTGATGAAAGTGGCGGCTCAGAACCTGGTGCAGAACTCCAGCATCGACAACGGGCAGTGAGTGCCCCCCCAAATCCCTCCCAGTGCCCCCTAGTCCTTCCCAGTCCCCCCCTGTCCTTCCCAGTCCCTCCCAGTACCCCCAGTCTCACCAGTTCCCCGCAGGAAGAGCGCTGACGGGGTCCTGCAGCGCTTTGACAAGAGCCTGGAGGAGTTCTACGCCTTGTGTGACCAGTTGGAGCTGTGCCTGGTGAGAGACCCCCAAAAATAACCCCAAAATCCCCCAAAACCTCCCCAACCCTCCCCTGCGTGACCAGCTGGAGCTGTGCCTGCAGAGACACTCCCGAAACCCCCCAAAAACAACCCCCAAAACTCTCCAAATTCACCCTGAACCCCATCCCAAACACCCCAAAATCCTCCCGAGCCCCCCCAGGTGACTCCCCCCGGTGTCCCCCGCAGCGTCTGGCCCACGAGTGCCTCTCGCAGAGCTTCGACAGTGCCAAGCACGCCCCGGCCCTGGTGCCCGCGGCCCCCAAGGGCGAGGGGGGTCCCGGGGGCGAGAGCCTGCCCTACACCCAGTACCTGCCCCTGATCAAGGCGCAGATCGCGGGCGCCAAGGACATCCACAACGCCCTGCTCGAGGGCACCAACAAGATTACGGGCAAGCTGCCCCCGCCAGGGGGGCCCTGAGGGGTTTTTGGGAGGGGTGAGACCCCTGGGGTGCCCCCGCCAGAGCAGTCGGGGGGGGGTTGGTTTAGGGGAGGGGGCGGTGGGAGAGAGGGGATTGAGCCAGGGGGTGGTTTGGGGCCTGGCCCCCCCCGTCCTGCTGGGGGTTGGTTTTGGGGGTGTCTGAGGGGTTTTGGGGACCGCACATCCCCGCCCGGAGGGGGAGGGAAGTCCAGGGTGTTCCTGGGGACTGGGTGCGGTCCCAGCGGAGCATTTTGGGGGTGATCCCCCCCCCCAAGCGAGGGAGATCATTGGGGAGGGGAGTGGGGGGTGCCGGGTTCAGGAGTTTTGGGGTAAAATGTTTGATTTTTGGTAAATAAACACGTGTTTTGTGGTACTGGCTCTCAGGCTTTTCTGT